GGGGGCGGCGGGGCCCGCGGGTCTGGCCGCGGGCGCGCAAGGGGCGCGGATGGCGGGGAGTGCGGAGTGAGGTCCCGCGCGGCCGGGCTGGGCCAGCGCTAGATGGAGTGATGCATGAGCGAGACGGGGAGGTTTTAACCTTCAGGGGGAGGAGCCCCGTTTAACTACAGGCATTTGTTCTAGGGCAGGTCACTTTAATCTCTTTAGCTTTAAACTGTCCAACTCGCAACTCGCTTTTCTCTATAAGGGATCTTTACCACTTCCCTGCCTATGCGGCCGGAGCGCCGTGCCTCTCCCCAGCAGAGACAGCCGCCTTGCAGGCACTGCCCAGATTGCTTCCGACACCCTTAAAATAATACTGTTAGTAATAAGTGGATTTGCTTTTGGTTTTTGTTGATTTTTTTTTCTTCTTTAAAAAAAAAAAAAAAGCTCCTTGTTCCTTTCTGTGTGGAATAAACACCTGCAAACTCCCCCAGGCAGCCCGGCGCCCCTGCCATGGATTCCTTTAAAGGTGGAATGAATTTGGAGAGACTGCCTGAGAGCTTGAGACCCCAACCCTCCCATGACATGGCTTCCAGCTTCCATTTGCAAAGATCCTCGGAACCCAGAGACCCGATCGACAACTCAGCCAGTGAATCCTCCGACACGGAGGTGCCAGGTAACCCTGTAACCCTCCCCCTCCCCGCGCCCCCCGCGCCCGGCCCGCTCCCCCCGCGCTGCCTCCCCCTCCCCACCGCGCCTTCCTGCGCGGGGCGGCCGGGGGTGCTCAGCCTGCGCCCCCGCGCAGCCGGGGGCTCTGGAGGGACCGGGGTGAGCAGGGCTGCCGGTGATCGCGGCGGCTCCATCCCAGCCGAGCCCCGGGAACCGGAGCGGGGCCCCGGGGCCCTCCTGGAGCTGCCTCCCCCACCGTGCCCGGCGCTGACAGCGCGCCCGGGGGACGCATGGCTCCGTGGTCCCATCCCAGAGCTGCTCTCTTTCATTTATTTTATTTATTTTTAAATAAAAAACTGTCGTTATTAATTGATGGGGTCGGGAGGAAGGGGGGGTTCTTCGGGGAGTGCGGTTTTGCCGGATGTTTCTGAAATAATGTCAGCTTTTGCCCGGGTTTATTTTCCAGCTCGGGTGGTGCAGAGATGGAAAAAGATCTCTCTGTCAGCGAAAAAAAAAATTTTTTTAGAAAGAAAGGGCAGGCAGAGCCGGAGAGGCAGCGTAGGGCCAAGGCAGGCAGCGCGGGCCGCCGCGGAGGGGATGTGCGCGGCCGCGGAGAGGTTTTGCGTGGGGGCTGAGCGCTTTCCCCGCAGGAAAAGGGAAAGATCCCCATGCCCTGACCACCGTGTGCGAGGGCTACAGGGAACGCTGTGCTCTTCAGATTGCATTTAACTAAAACAACAACGTTTTTAGAATGACAAGGGAAAGGTAGAAGAGAGGAACAAAAGCTTAAAGAAGGAGTGTGATATTCCTTCTCCAGCAAGACTGTTTCAGAAGGAGTTTATGTTTTATGTCATTTTAGTTTTCTAATAGCTATTGTTGCTCTTGGGAATTTTAACCTGGAGAGTGGCTGTTGTAAGAGTCGGTCCCGAAGTGGCACTCGGTGATAAAGAAGGTTTGGGTTGTGCCTCCCGGCCTGATTCGCAAACAAAGTTAGAGACCGGCGTCTGGAAGGGACTCTGAGATTAGAGGGGATTATTGGAGATTAGAGAGGGAGATTTGCTCCATTTTGCCCTACCCCTGTGTGTGACCCCTCGGTGCTGCCGGAGGGCTGAGGAGCTGCCTGCTTTTCTTCTCCGAGAACCTGCAAAATACCTTTAGATTTTATTTTTTTAATGGGGAAAAAAATTAGTTACAAAATCCGATTAAAGATGCCTTGCCTCATGATTCTGATTCGCAAACAAAGTTAGAGACCGGCGTCTGGAAGGGACTCTGAGATTAGAGGGGATTATTGGAGATTAGAGAGGGAGATTTGCTCCATTTTGCCCTACCCCTGTGTGTGACCCCTCGGTGCTGCCGGAGGGCTGAGGAGCTGCCTGCTTTTCTTCTCCGAGAACCTGCAAAATACCTTTAGATTTTATTTTTTTAATGGGGCGAAAAAAAAATAGTTACAAAAACTGATTAAAGATGCCTTGCCTCATGATTAGGAATTGTATCACAGCCCTGCGCTGAGGCCGGATTTTTAGGGAGGACCGGGAGAGTTAAAGCCGGGACCGCTGCCGCTTCCCGATCGCCCCTGCTCCCTCTGGGCCCGGTTTATCCGAGCCGTTCGCGGCCGAAAGCGGCACGATTTGTTTTGGCGTGATTGGGGTGATTTTTGTTTCTGTTTCGCCGCCGCCGCCGGGCCATGCGGCTCGGCCGGTCTGGGACCCGGGGCCTGGGGCGATGGGTCTGTCTGAGCGGCCTGGGATTCCCTGCAAACCCCCAGGGCCATCGGCCCCTTTGGGGGTCCACTGAGCACCCTCAGCCCTCTGCCTGTGCAGGGCTCCCAGCAAGGTGCGATCCAAGGGTGACTTTGCAAGGACGAGTCCTGCGGGGCTCAGGATTCAGCACGCGATTATTTTTAGACGCCGCTTACCTCGCAGAGGTCGGGGCTGTAGAAATGCCCCCGGGCCCGCCGGCGGCGGGAGAAAACCCTCCGAAGGGGGTTTAAAAAAAAACAACAACAAAAAAAAACTCTTTAAAGGAGGAGAGAAAAAGTTCCAAAGGAGAAAACTCGCGGCGGGTTTTCCCTTCTGGAGCAGCAGCAGGACCGAGGCCGGGCTTGGCCGCGGCCCCCGGCCCTGCCCGGCCCGGCCGCCCCTTCCCCGCGCCGCCGGGCCCAGCCGGGCTGCGCTTCGGTTCAGGGCCTTCAGAGCCTCTCCGAGCGCTCCAGCCGGGACAAAGCGGGCCGAAACCGGGCTGGGAGAGCCAGAGAGCCCGTTGCGAAATAGGAGAGGGGGCTCGCAGGGCCGGTATAGAATTCCTGCTCCCAGCCCGCGCAAATCCCGGCCGAGAAAACCCTCCTGGGTGGTTTCTTTTTTCTTTCCTTCTTCCGATATGATTTTTGCGGAGGGCTTCGCTCAGCCCTGTGTTAAAATAAATACCAAAATCCTAAAAGATGAAGAATAAAATAATTATGAAAAGAGAATGAAGTGGGGGAGCGGAGAGGGGCCTTTTGCAATTAATTGCTCCTGGATTTTCCACCCTTGCCCTTCCAAAGTTTCCTGTCGCGGCCGAGCACAACAAAGACAATGGAGCAAAGATCACGCCTTGGTTTGGAGGGAGCGAGAAGGTGCCGTAGAAAGGCGGAGCGGCCCGTGATACAGGGACCCCGCACCCCGCGAATGCAGTCACCCATCGGGGCCGCTCTGGGGGTCCCTCCTGCTGCATCCCCGGGTGCCCTGGGCTCGGCAGGGCTCCTGCTCCTTCCCCAGCCGCGCCGGGAAAGGCCGGGATGGGCTGCGGGGACTCTCTGGGTGCAGGGCCCAGCGGGACACGAGTGGGTGTCCCCACGCGTGCCTCCAGTGGGGTGGGCAGCGCTGGGCGCGGGGCGGGGGTGTCTGCCTTTGTGTGCCTGTACTGGGGGAAAAACTAAAGCAAAAAACCACGAAACAAAACCAAATAAACCAACCATCCCCAACCCGACCCCTCGCAGAAAAAGAGCGTAGCGGCGAGCAGAAAAACGAAGACGGGGCCGCCGACGACCCGGCCAAGAAGAAGAAGCAGCGGCGGCAGCGGACGCACTTCACCAGCCAGCAGCTGCAGGAGCTGGAGGCCACCTTCCAGCGAAACCGCTACCCCGACATGAGCATGCGGGAGGAGATCGCCGTCTGGACCAACCTCACCGAGCCCCGAGTCCGGGTAAGAGGGGCTGCAGCTCCGCCGGAGCGTGGGGGGCTCGGGGGAGCTGCCCCTTCTGGGACAGCGCTGCGACGGCTTGCTCTGGGCTGGGTTTTAGTGACCAAAACTGGGATCCAGGTCGGAGAGGAGAAATTCTGCTCTCGGACAAGGAGAGATGCCGCCCGGAGCGGGCAGCGACCGCCGGCCTTGCGCTGGGGACCGGTTCGAAAAGCGGGCGGCGAGCGGTGCAGGGAGCAGGAAAGGCCGGGTGGGGAAGGGTCTGACTGTGGGGGGATAACCCTCCGGACTGCAGGGAGAGCGTCGCAAGGATGGAGCAAAATCCCATCCCAGCAATTTCCCCTTGCTCTGGTTATTCCCAGTAAGCGCCACGGCCGTCTCCCAACAAACCACTGCCCCTCGCTATGGCGGCAGCGGGATGGCGAGCTCCATCCTGCCCGCACCGCGCGTCCCCCGCGGCCGCGGGCTGCTGGTGGAGGCCGAGAGACACAGACTTGTACCGCGGAGCGCTCCATTTTTACACGCCTCGGAGCCTATGCCACCATATATACATATATATATATATATATATATATATATACACACACACATATACATATATATATATACACACCATATACATATATATATATATACACATATACATATATTTATATATTTATATATATGGTGTCTATATACACATACAGTATATATATGTATATATATGTGTGTGTGTGCATGTGCATATATATAAATATAATATATATATATATGAACCCCTCTTAGCCAGACTCGAGGGGTTGGGTAATGTTGGTGTACACGGCGAGAAACTTATATGTGTGTGTGTTTGTATGTGTATATGAATGCGCATATATATATATACACACACATATATATATGTATGCGTGTGTGTGTGTGTTGTGCTTCGGCAGTTCCTTAGAGAGATTTATGAGTGAAAGATCCTGGCAAAGAAGGAGAGGGCCGAAGCGGCTCGGTCTCTGTGTCTCGGCTTGCCCACCTCCCAAGTGCTTTTTCCCACCCGAGACATTTCCCCGCGCGGTTTCAGCAGTGGTCACACACCGCGGGACCGTGGGCTAAGCACAGAAGGGAACGGGAACTGCGCAGCGGAGCCCCACCGCACGGAAAATCCACTTTTTCTTTTTTGCTTTTCGTTTTTTTGTTTTTGACTTGGCAATTAAACCCTGAGTGACCAAATCGGATTACAGAGATTCTGCTTTAAACATTTGAAAAGTAAACACCCATCTGAAACAATTGCGTCTGAAAGCATTGTCTTAATTGAGTTTAAAACAAAACAAAGCCTGAGCATTAATACTGGTTGAATATTTCAGGGAACAAATATAACTAAAATATGAGTTGCAATTAACATAATTTCGTTCTCCTTCTGTGTGGAGATGTTTGGGTTTGATGTTTTGAGATGGCAGATTGCAAATCTAACCTTAATTTGCTATGAGGGCCTTCCTTTAAAATGTCTAGGAGCCATAATTAAAACTATTACCCTCATTTTCAGGAAATTCCTGTCTGGAAGCACCTTCCGAGGAGTATATTACAGGTTTTGAACATGTTGGCTTTCGTTTCCTATTTATACAGGATTCTTTTTATTATTGTTATTTTTTAAAATAGACTCCGCCATCCGTTCCCCCACGGAGTTTCCATCCTTGAGCCCGGTATTTAATAATAGTTGTGCCATTTCTGCGCCGGGAGGGGAGGCCCCAGGAGCCGCCCCCCGCCCCCACCCCGGCTCCGGAGGGAGCGCAGCCTGCGCGGGGCCGGGGCCCCGGTGTCCGCAGGGAGCTCCAGGGCCCCGGCTCGCTGCGAGAAATCCGGCCTGCGGTGCGGAGGATGCTGCAAGGGAGGCTCGCAGGCTGGGCGCAGGCAGCGGCAGCAGGATGCAGATTTTTAACCAATTTTTAAAGATTTTTGAAGCTGCCCGGCTTCAATCGGGGGGATTCAAATGCTTTCCGAAGGCTCTATGTATAGATAGGTAGATAGATAGATAGATAGATAGATAGATAGATAGATAGACATGATTTTATATATATTATTACGTATAAAATAATCAGAGACTGGAACCGTTCTCGCATCAAACATCGGGACCAGCCCCTCTCTTCTGTTTCCTGGTTAGGGCAGTAAATTCTCATTAGATATAAAGGCAGAGGCTGCATCTATCCGAGGGCAATGGGGGGATTGATTTTTTTTTTTTTTTTAACCTAAACATACTAATCTAATCCCTTTTTTTATGATCTGTAACAGGGGGCTTTTATTACACAGCATTAGCGTTCGGAAACGCGGCAGAGCCGGGGCGAGCCGGCCCTAATCAGAGCGGGCCGTGTCTGCGCCCCCCGTCTGGCTCCGGGAAGGGGCGGCGGGGGCGCGGAGACCCGCGCAGGCACAGGGCGGCTGCGCGCATCCCGCCGGCGCATCCCGCTGAGCGCGGAGGGATGCGCGCAGAGCCCGCCGTGCGCGCAGGCAGCCCGCGGAGCGGGGGGCGGGCGGTGCGGGGCGCGGAGCCCGCTCGGGGCTCCCGGAGGAGCTGGCCGGGCCGGGGGAGCGGGACCCTGCGCTCCCAGCGGAGGGGTGGGGTGGGGTGGGGGGCTGCTGCGGCCCCGCACTCACCCAGACGTGTCGCTCCCCCCTCCCCACGCAGGTTTGGTTCAAGAACCGCCGAGCCAAGTGGAGAAAGCGGGAGCGGAACCAGCAGATGGACCTGTGCAAGAACGGCTACGTGCCCCAGTTCAGCGGGCTGATGCAGCCCTACGACGACATGTACGCCGGCTACCCCTACAACAACTGGGCCACCAAAAGCCTCACCCCGGCGCCGCTCTCCACCAAGAGCTTCACCTTCTTCAACTCCATGAGCCCCCTGTCGTCGCAGTCCATGTTCTCGGCGCCCAGCAGCATCCCCTCCATGAACATGCCCTCCAGTATGGGCCACTCGGCCGTGCCGGGCATGGCCAACTCCGGCCTCAACAACATCAACAACATCAGCGGCTCCTCGCTCAACTCGGCCATGTCCTCGCCCGCCTGTCCCTACGGGCCGCCGGGCTCGCCCTACAGCGTCTACCGGGACACTTGCAACTCCAGCTTAGCCAGCCTCAGACTGAAATCAAAGCAGCACTCCAGTTTCGGCTACAGCAGTTTGCAAAGCCCCGGCTCTAGTTTAAACGCCTGTCAGTACAACAGTTGACGGACTTGACACAAACCACCTCCGACAAAGCACCGCCGACAAAGCAAAGCAGAAGCAAAGCGACGTTTAACGGAAAAGAAAAAAAAAATATTAAACCCGATGATGATTAAAAGTAAAACCCAAGCAAGTGAGAGAGGGAAAAAAAATAAAATATAGCACACACCCTCCCCCCCCGCTCCCCCAAAAAAGCCCCAAAAACTCCGCGGACTTCGACTGTCTAGGAAAAAAAAAATAGCAAAACAACGATGCAACCAACAAAACAGCGCTTTAAAAATATTTTTTAAAAATTTTAAAAAAAGTCTATTACTCCGTCTAAAACCGTAAACAGACCAGAAAACTTTTGCAAGAGACACCGAAATCTGGTACATGGATGAGTTGCAATTTTTTTCTCTGGATTATGCGGGTTGTATGTGTTTACTTGAACTTGCACAGGAGCCGGTAAGGCGGCCGCTGCCCCGCGGGGAGGGCGGCAGGAGGGGACGCCTCGGTGGTGAGAGCTGGTGGGACGGTTCTTGGCCGCTTGTCGCACGGGAAGAGTTTGGTTAATGTTTACCACTGAGAAACAGAATCACACTCGGAAAAAAAAAAAAAAGGTTGGGGGAAGAGGGGAGGGAAAAAAAAACCAAATCGCAGAGTAGAATCTGCAGGGGGAAAAATGGTTGAAATATTAGGTATGAAACTATTAAAATAATAATGACAAGGGTCAACCACTTATATAAGGTTATATTTATATCTACCGTTGCATTGTGCCGGATCATTGTCCTTGGCCGTTGAATAAACTGTTTTTAAAATGCATGATTCTTGATGTTTTTTCTTTAGTTGGAAGCTCTAATCCAGTCATTCCTGATACTAAGCAGCTCAAGGTTCCTACCTCTTCATCCTTTCCAAAAGACTGCAGTATCCCCGGTTGTGAGAGAGCACAGAAACCCTTCAGCAATGCGAAAACTGTTCATCTTTTTCCCCATCCAAAGTCTTATCCTGATAATGAAATTATCATTCACCTTTATTTAAATGCAGGGGGTGTTTTTTCTCTTTGAAAAGTAAAACGGAAAACCAACCCCCGTTTATAAAGTCTCGAAAACAAGACGAAAAATGGTTTGTTATGAAGTGATTTCAGATACTGCATCTCTGCTAGAGAAACAGAGAGCCTCGGCGTCCGGAAAGGTTCTTAGCAAAGCTGAAAACGTTCCTTGTTTTTCTAAATGTGAAGGAAAAACAAGGAACCAAAAAATTTCTTAAGGTGTTATTATCTTAAGGTGTTATTATGTAAATATAGATACTTTTACAAGTGCTTGTTGGAAAAAAATAAAAACAACAAACAAAACATGGAAATTATAAATATGATTTTTATTAATACGCATACAAAAGGCATATGAAGTTTAATTGCAGGCATATTTGTTGCTTATTTTTGTCGATACTTATTACCTGTAGATGACAAAGAGACATAAAATGCACACGGTACTTCTTTCCCAGTGTATTTCACACCTGTGGTAAACGTTACGCTGGATGTTTCAATTATGCTGTTGTGGATAAGGATGCAGTATATATATTGTTTTATAAGTTATGTTTTGTGATTTTTTTTTCAAAATTAAGAGCATGGGAATAAAAAAGAAAACTTAAAAAAAAAAACCTAAACGGAAAACGAAATCTAGAAATGCCTTTAATGTTCTTTTCTGGCTGTGTTTAAGAGAGCAACTAAACAAGAAGAAAAGCAACTTGCCGTCCCTCTCCCGGTGGTGACATTTGACATTTTGGGGAGGTCCCCGCGTTTCCCCCGGTAGTTGCGCCGTGTCCCCGCGTCCCCCCCAGCGTCCCGACAGGGAAGGAGCCCCGGGGCAGCCCTGGCAGAGGAAACCTTCCCCAGCTCCAATTTTATGGCAGAGTGTTAGGGCTGTGTGCCGGAGCTGGGGATCCAGCCCTCCTTGCCGCTCATCGCTGCGTCCCTCCAAATCCCAGCGTGATGGGGTTTTTCCTCCCCAAAGAGCTAACTCCAAATCCCAGCGTGCTGGGGTTTTTCCTCCCCAAAGAGTTAACTCCAAATCCCAGTGTGGTGGGGTTTTTCCTCCCCAAAGTGCTAACTCCAAATCCCAGCGTGCTGGGGTTTTTCCTGCCCAGAGTTAACCCCGCACCCTGCAGCCCCCGCGGTGGCCGCAGCCCTGGCACTGCTCCTTCTCCCGCAGCCGCTCGTCCCGTTTCCCTAAAGTGCGTTTTTCTCTTGTTTCTCCAAATTCCCCGACATTCTGAATTTTAAAGTTTGTTCGATTAATTTTCCCTCTCCTTTAAGTTTTTGCAAGCACAAACCCCTCTGATTTAATTGCTATTTATCTACTATTTATTAACTATTGCGATTACTATTAATAGTAATAGTTTTGTCCCAAATGCCATAACTGATACAAGGAATCAATGAAATATCCGGAGCCACCGCCGGGGCCCTTTCCCGGCCCAAGCGCGCTGTTTGCGCGGCCGCGGATGGCCCCGCTCCCCGAGGATCGCAGTTCTCTGTGTCCCGGGCTGGGGGCTGCGCTGGGGCTTTGTTCCGAGTCTGCTCCATCCCTCACCACAGCCACGGCAGTGTCACCAGAGCAGCACAAGGACTGATTTTCCCTCATTTTCCAGGCGGGAGGGATCTGCCAGCCCTCCGCTGGGATTTTAGCCAGGATTTTAGGTGCTCGTTTTCCCCTGTTCCTGGAGGTAGCACCATTAGCCCGAAATCCGAGCGCGGCGTTCGCGTTTTGCCAAACCCTGCCCCAGGTTTCAGTTGCTGTCGGAGCCCTGAACCACCCAGCCCCTCCCGAAGCTGTGTGCAGGAAAGGGGGGACCAGGGACACAGCCTGCTGTCCCTCAGCAGTGTCCCCCCGCCCTGGGACTGTCCCACCGAAAGCTGATCTGCTGCTGCTGGGCGACATTTGGGCATCTTGACACATTTATGGCTCAGGGAAAGGAAAATTCCAGGGAGACACCGAGCAGAAAGCAGCTCCTTCACCTTCGCCGTGCACTTTTACGGATGCCTTGCTTCCAGCAGCCTTTGGGTCTGCCCCACAATGGTTAGAGCTTGAATTATTCGGGGTTTTGGAGTGTTTGAGGCGCGGCTTTGGGCTGCTTTGCCCAAGCACATTTTCCTGAGCCTGCCTTTGGAGGTGCCCAGGTGTGTGCCCACGCTGGGGGCAGCGAGGCAGGCTGTCATTTAATGGTTCATTACTCCCCGCAGTCCCCACGGGGGGAGGGCAGTATAAAATACCGCTCGCCACCCTTCTCACTCTGGTTTTTGAACTCCCCTTGCCGGCATCTGGCTGGTGGGTGTTTCCACACACCGGAGGCGATGGTTTTCCATCCCTCGCCCTGCACATTCCTCCCGGTGGTTTCCAGTGCGTGAAGCCCGAGCTGGAGCTGCTGGAGCTGCATCGCTTCCATCCCGAGAGGCTCCATCCCGGTGGGACCCTGCTGCACGGAGTCCCCAGCCTTCTGCCGGCTCATTGCAGGCTTTGTCAAGGCAAGCAGATCCTTGGAGCCAGAGAAATACCGGAATCAAGTTTTCCATTTGTTCTGGGCGTGCTGGCTTACCTATTAGCATTTCCAAAGCAAAGCTGCCTGGGGAGAGCTTTGCCTGGGTTTGCTTGGGAATGCTGCGTGGTCCCGAGAGGTCCCAGACCAGCCCAGGAGTGGCTGCACAGTGGAGCTCTGGTTGCACCAGCCCAGACGAGGTTCACAAATGCTTTATGCCTCAGACCGTTCAAGATTAAATGTCTTCTAATAAAAAGCTGTGGTCAGTTTAATTCTAAATTGCATACTTCTCTATATCTGTGGCCTGGAACTCAGCAAACTAAGCAAAGTCCTATTTAAATTAATAGGATGCTTCAGTACTGATTTTAATGGGGTTTTGTATAATAAAAATAACACCTAGAAATGCCCTAACATTTTGCTGCAATCTTGCAACAAAAGTCAGTGGAACTGGGATAATAAAAATACAGGTTTTATATGAAACCTATGAAGGGTTTGTCATTAACTTCAGTGGCACAGTTTCAGGCCTTATTATTTTAGTATATGCTTGTATAAGTAAAAATTATCAATTAAATGAGAATCTGGGACTTTTCTGTTTCAATGTGGCAACTTGCATATGAAATATTTAGTTTGATGTTATCAAAACAGCCAAATATACCAACTTATAAACCAGCCCGTATACAAAGACTGAGAACAAACAAAAACACAAAACTACACAGTGTTTTTGCTCAGTTTGCCCATCAAACAAAGCTGAGCTGTTACTTCTAAGAAAATGCTTCATACCCTCCTTTAATCTATGAAAGGGAACAGTTCTCTGCTCAGCCTCATAGAAAACAGTAAAAACCTCCTTCAAAGTAAAATATATTTTAATTAACAGAGCTGCAAAATAAAATCCACAGCTATGCAGCAAGCCTCCTCTGTGGCTCACCATTGTGTGAACTGCTTGGACAAGCTGCTCTTATTAACAAGCCATGGGCTACCCTCTGTTCCAAACTGATTAAGCAGTAAGGCTGCAGGCAGATTTTCTATCAAAAAATGTTTCAATGGCATCCAGCCTGTTCTTCTGCAGAATGATGGGGTTTTTTACAGGAAAAAATAATTTGTTTATCCTCAATTCAAATTTCTTTAATGAAGAAAGCGAACGCACAACAATTTTATTTACCAAATAACTTCCCAACAAATAAAAATTCTCATAGGAAATAAAAAGAAGAAAAATGAAAGAACATATGCATTTGATTTTTTCCCCCTTCTTCACTCAACCATTTCTTGCAGAAAGCCAGGTAACCATGTTCAGTCTCTGCTAGAGACAAGCAAATTTGCTCACAAATCTTCCCAGGAGATCAGTGGAGCTGAGCGAAGGCTTGTGCCCGGGGGCGAACCCCGCCGATGTAAATGAGCAGCCCAGAAGCAGCTCCTCCCGACACCTCTGCTGATGCAGCCCTGCCATCCACGGCAGCCTGCCATTCCTCCCCGGAATAACATGTAAAACAGCACTCGCTCCGGGTTGCTAATTCAAGTCTTGCAGAGCAACTTCAGACCTCCCCC